AATCCAAAATTTGAGTATTTTTCTATGTTATGTTCATGTTTATGTTCATAAACTTTTTATTTAATAAAATATGTTTTCATAGTTTGTGTTGTCCCTTATTATCAATGCAAAATGGTCACTAACTAAAGAGGATTTATGCTGATATTGCCCAAAAACCCTATTTTATTCAGGCGTTTCCAAACTTTTGGAGGGCAGTGTATACAGCTAGACTTCATTTTTAAAAGAAAAATATATAACATATACAGTACGTACAACAGCTGTTACATCTAACGTGACCATACTAAAATGTTTCTACTGTAATGTGCTGTATATTTCACATTCGCAGACTCAGTTCAAAGTTAATAATTGGTTTACAAACCTGGAAGAAATACATCCAGTAATGTTTTAAGATACGTGTAGGAGTGTTTTTATCCATATTGTTATTCATTAACAATAATATGCTGTTGTTCTTTGGCTGCTCCTGTTAGGGGCCGCCACAGCAGATCATTGGTCTGCATATTTGATTTGGCACAGTTGCCAAATCTTGTAACTGCTTGGGACCAGCACTGGGAGCGCACTGTCGTGTGCAACCCTGGCCGGGAATCAAACCCAGGCTGTGGCGGTGAGAGTGCCGAGGCATAACCACTAGTCCTCCAGGAACCCATTCAATAATAATAATATAATCATTTTATATATCCTTATTATGGTATCAAACTTCTAATTAAGTGCTGCCAATAATGAATTTAGACCCCTGAGCTTTTTAAAAAGAAAGTCATTAGTGAACTCGTACTTTCATCCACCAGGACAAGGGTGAACTGGTTCTTGGCTCTGCCGTCCTTCAGCTGTGCCGTGTACGAGCCCTCGTCCTCCTTCGACAGCTGATCGAACAGAATCTCCACCAGACCGTTTGCCTTGTCAAAGTTGATCTTACGCGCCTGTGGATCAGCCACAAACACACACCACCTGATTCACTTTAGCCTGTTTCAGTAACTGCTATGAATAATTCAGTAACTACAGTGAAACTACTTCCTCAAACAAAACTGCAATTATTATTACTATAGGATTCATTCATGATCACATTCATTAAGAATAACACACACACACACACACACACACCGGCGTGGAGGAGATCTCTCGGTCGTTGAGGATCATGTGAAGCTCTGCGGCGTTGGACAGGGGCTCTGTCTGCAGCCACAGTCTCACATTCCCCTGCTCCGACACGTCCACCTGCCAGCCCTCAGAGCGCAGTGCTATAACTACACGCACACACACACACACACACACACACAAACATGGGGACATGGCTGTGGTTCTGTGCTTTATGGAATGCATAAAACAATTGGGGACATGCTGGTAAAGGCAAATAATCGCTGTCATGGTGATGTAATACAGCCCAATGCAAAGAAAGGCTACCACCCTGAAGTTGATTATTTTCCTATAAAAGCACATCCTGAAGTGTTTTATTCCTTTTACACAAGAGCAATTCACCAATGATTATGATTTTTATTTAGTAAGGCATGACACGTCATACTTTTTATCCATTTATAGCTACTTTTAATGTTGTGGAACATCTGTGAAACAAGTTAGCTCCTGTTATCACTTATGTTGTAGCTCCCTCACTTTCTCTTGAACTTAATAAGACAGAAAGCAGAATCTGACCAATGAGGTTAGAGAATTCATCAGCACTGTGGTTTAAATATGGAATACTTACTTATAGTGTTCTTACAAGTTATTACCCCAAATGGTCCTCACTATCCATCCATCTGGCTGTCTGGGTATTTGCCTGTCTATCTGTCTATTTTTGTGTCTGACTCTCTCTCTTTTTGCCTGTCTACCTGTCTATTTGCCTGTCAGACTTTGTGTTTAATTTTCTCTCAATCTAATGTCTATCTGTCTGCCTGTCTGTCTTAGTCATAGGCAATTCCCAGGATTACTTTATTACTTGACAGTGACAATATGGCAATAGAAGTGTGTGTGCGTTTATGTGTCTCTCAATCTGCTTTAAGGCCCTTTCAGCTATTCATGCATGATCTTACGCGGGTTCCTAATGTGCCAGCTCAACTCCATGAGTCTCTCCAGATCTGTGAGATAAAAAGACACAAATGCAATGTCAAACTCAGGCTTTTCCCATCCTCCCCACTCTGTTTTTAGTGTTAGCATGCTGCGTACAGCCTATTCTTCTCTAACAACAATGAAGATATGCTATTAAATGAAATAGCTTGGCCAATAAAAACATTTGATAATATAATTCCAGTTGGATTTTTATATTTATTATTTATCTATTCTTCTATTTTCTGAAACTTCAAGCTTCAGACACCAACTACATGTGCGGTAAGAGGAACAATGCACCTTATAATTTTGGCCAAATTATCAAAAAATATATATATATATGCAGGCTAGACATTTTCTCTTAGCTTTTATTGCGATATTGCCAGCCCTTAGATGACAGAAAGATGGAAATTGTACCTTCAGCAGTGAAATTAAAGCTAGAGGAGATGTCAGGCCTGTCAATCACTTCAGCAGTGTAAAGGCCAAGATCCTCCTCCGCAGCTGCAGTGAAGGTGAGAACAGATCTGCAACACAAACGCACAACTGCATTTTTATGTCCTGGCCACTATATATCATTTATGTATCTAAAATGATTCTTTTTTACAACTTACATTTACAAAACAATTCTGCACCTTCACTTTTTTTGTTACTAATTTTACACCTTAGCTCTTTACCATTATTATTTTTTTCTATTTAACTTCTATTTATGAGCTTTCCATTACATTTTTTTTACACCTTAATGATGCATTATTATATCATGATGACTTTATAATTTTACTGCTCTTTACATCTTTACTATTGTATCTTTACACACTTCACTTTACTACTGACTGTTCAGTTTATTTCTATGAATTGCCGTGCTACATCTGTACATCTGTGCTACATTTGTAAATTTCTTCTAAATTTGTAAAAATCTTTACAACTTTGCTACTGTGTCTCTGTTAATAACTTTGTGTAACTTTACAGCTGAAAATTTACACCTAAATTCTTTACTACTTGATTTTACTACTTATTTTTACACCTTAATGCCTTTTACTTAATTATTTACTTACTATATGCTATGTATCAACATTTTTGTGCAATGACTTTACTACTGCTTTTTGATGCCTTTACAACAATTTTACACTTTACATCAGCATCTTTACACCTTAATGCCTTCTCTTTACAGCTGTGTTCTTTTATTTTTACTACTTAATACCTACTATCTTCTCACATTAACTTTATGCCTTAACACCATTTACAACTACTGCTTTTTTTACACCTTCATTTTACACCTTATTACTTTACTACTGTACTACTTCCTGTTTACATATTCCATTTACTACTGAATCTTTACGTATTAATACTCACTCTATACTGCTTACTATGCAGCTTATAATATATGAATTACTATGAACTTCCTGTGATCTTCCTGTGACACCTTCTCTGATCAGTGTCACTAATATGTCAGCCACAAATTTACACTTTACATTCTTTACTAGTTGACTTTACTGCTTATTTTTACAACTTAATGTGTTCTATACATCTTGTCACATTAATAAAATACCTATTATTTACTGTGTGCTATGCATCTTGTCATGTTAACAATTTTGCACAATGATTGCTGCTTTTTAATGCCTAACAACAACTTTACATCAGCATCTTTACACCTCAACACCTTTATATTTTAATTATTTTTTACATCTTAATACCTACTCACCTTAATACATACTATATATATCTTTAAGCACTTAAGCTCATGTTAACAGCTCATGTTAACAGCTACTTCTTTTTATACTTTAGTGACTTTATCACTTTACTACTGCTTGTTTACAACTTTACATCTTCTCTTTACATCTTTGCTACTGTATGTTTACTCAACAGCTTATATCTATGAATTACTATATACCATGTACTATTGCACTTCTATACCTTAACACCTTCTCTCAACAGTGTCAGTCTCAAATATATACCTTAACTATGCATTAGTTCCTTACTACTTGATACAAGTATTTATTACTACAAGTTAATGTTTCTGTACTTTGTGTACTATGTGTCTTCTATGACATCGCTTTTTTACTTTTTTTTCTTTTTACATTACTATTGCAACTTTGTGCCAGAAAACCTTCTCTTTACCCTTTCACTACGGTTTCTTTACAATTTACTTTACTTTAAAATTTTTACTTCTGGTTTTTACTGTTCTAATATATTTTAATGCCTAATATTTTTCTGCTAAATACATTTTCACATGAATACTATAACTTTATTACATTAAACTACATTACTGAATTAGCTTTACATTATTTATCAACAACTTTATTTACTTCATCTTAAAGACTTCACCTTAAGGAACTGCTGCAATTTTACACAATTCTGATTTTTTTTATAACTATAATACTTTCTATATACTATAAATACTAAATACTACAATACTATAATAATAACTATGATACTTTCTCCACATCTTGTCACATTAACAGCTTCTCTCTTTTTATACCATAACATCTTCTTTTTACATCCCTACTATTGTATTTTGAACACTTGTACAACTTACCTTCACAGATTTCTTTTTTTTTTTTTTTTACAGGCCTTCTCTTTACAGTTTTAATACTACATCATTTTGTACTGTTTCTTTATAACTTCATATTAGTCTTGTAGCTGGTCTACAACTGTTACAAACATTTACCTCCCCAAGTATTCTGAGATGCAATTTTTGCCTTTGCTAATGAATGTAATGAACACACTTATTTTGCTTGGTCTCCAAGTGGGCTCGTCCTGCATCAATGGCCTGTCTGTAGTTCTTCTTCCACTCAAACTGACTTTGGTCAAGTGTCTCAGGTGCTTCAAAGCTCAAGAAGATGAAGCCATCATTATCAACCCCAATCTCTATGTCTCTGGTTGCTGTACAGTAAAGAAGTAGATATGCACTTCAGTTTGTGTTGAATAAGGCATAATAAAAAGGTGTTTGCCCATCAAAAGAAACGAAAGCATTAAAAACCATTAAAGACACCTTGGATCAGCTGAAAAAAACTCTTTGGGCTGTGCTAAGGGAACTGACCTGGGTCAGTCTGGGCTTTGATGGGGTCTGTGGGGAAAGAAGGTCTTCCCACTCCAGCATTGTTGATGGCACACACACGGAGACGATATGTCTGACCTGCCTTCAGCCCAGAAACCTGACAGCAAAGTCAACATAAGTCTCTCCTAAACCACTGGTCACCCATTAATTTTAGGAAACCCTTATCATGTGTTTTTTTAAGTATCATTTAACGCAATGTACTGACCTTTAGGTACATGTCTGTGATTGGTTCCTGGGTCACTGTGGTCCAGTCCTCTGACTCCTCCCCCTCACTGATCTCCACAACATAACCAGTGATTTGTGACTGACCTTGGTACAGAGGCTCCGCCCACAGAAGAACCAGAGATTCCTGCCGCACCTCTCTCAACTCCAGGTCATATGGGCAGCCTAAGAACATCATGGTAACAGTGTATAATGAAAACCACTGATTTTTTTGGTGCAAATAGCTGGCTTGTAAAAAAAGGTCAGTTCATCCAACCACCCCTTCATCCATCCAAGCAGTGTACTGAATGGGCAGTTCATTCATTCATCCATCTGTTTATTCATTCAAACATCC